GCATTCATAATGTAACTTAAGTAAGGAATGCAGTGTTGGAAGATCAGGGAGCTTATCCCAAAGAATATAATTTCTAAACTTAAACCTAAAGATCTAAAGCAATAATACCATTGGCAAAGTGAATAATCCTAGTCCTAGAAAACTTTATGGGCAAAGATCTATGGACAAAAGAGAACACTCTGTATAACTACAGTATACCTGAGGGTTAAGGCAGGAACCCAGCAGATGTGTCTCAAGGGCTAAACCAAGAACCAAGGCAGTGAAGAAACAGAGTTTCACCCATTGGTTTGCAGTGCTTGTGGATTACCTAAAAAGAGAGACTTTGGACACATGTCTCAGAAAGAGATAAAAATGGTGACTGAAAAATTTGACAGAAAATCATTAGACAGGGACAGTGTACCCTAAGAATGAAATAGGATCAGAATAAAATTCCAGAGAAGAATCCTGAGATTGCAAGGGATTACAAAAACAGGAGCCTTTGAAAGAGACTGAAGAGTTTGGCCTAAGGATTAGAGAAAAACAAGCAGAGTATAATGCAACAAAATCCAGAAGAAATAGCCTTTCAAGAAGGAAGGAGTAAACAACGGTGTATAATTACCGTAGAAGAGTCAGTAAGATAATAACTCCAAAAGATCCCCAAAATTCGTCAACATTGTTTTACATAGTTCTGGTGAAATGGTATTGCAAGGAAACCATATTGCAGTGATCTGAAATGTGAATGGCAAATAAGTCTACAGAGATTGACTACTGTCTACTAGTTCAGGAAGATTATCTGATTAAGAATTGAGGAGAGGAATAAATAAGAAGCCATTTTAAAAATGTATTAAAAATACAGAAGAATATGTTGACAAGAGGTTCTAGATTATGTGAAAAGGTGGGATCTAGAGCACGGGTTAGGGTGCTAGTTTTAGGAGAAGGTGTACCTCTGATTGTGGCAAGTAATAAATATGCCATTACACATGTTGCCATATACAAGCCTGCTCATTCCAGTGCTAAGTGAAGTCTGAAGTAAAATGGTTAAAGTTGTATGGAACTAGATTAATAGGATATTCAGGAAGCAGAGTAGATCTAGTTTTCTGTTTAGATACTGGTACTAAAGGAAGGACTAACCAAGGTCGACTACAGAATGTCTGGTCTTGGTGATATGGAAATTCAAGAGGAAAAGCAGGCATCAGAAAGAGAATGATGTAAAGACAAGTGATTTTGAAGTATAGCTGGAAATAAGATATATGAGCACAAGAGTAAGATAGAAGTTACTAGTCCTATAGGTAATACCTAGTCCCCTAGGCTGCTAGCTCTATGAGATAAGAAACTTTGTCTATCTAATCAACTATCATCACAAGTCCACACAATGCCAGGCAAGAATTTATAAAGGAGCTTAAAAGGGAACATAAAAATCTTGTTTCCTGAAGGTCTATAAAGAAGACACTCATGAAAAAGGAAAAGGTCTGTATAGTTGAATTCAGCAGAAAAGTCAATGAAGATAAGGAATAAGAGTGCTTCTCAGATAAAACAATTTTAGGCCTTCCTAGTAAGCACAGTTTAAATTTAGCAAAATCATATGGCAATAAATTAAGGAGAGAATGGAAGGTAAAGGAATAGAGTCAGAGAATAAATTTCTCTTTAAGGAAATTTTTATGAAAGACAAAATATGAGAAGAATCTAGAATTTGTCCCAGAAATTTTGTTATATCTCATGCATTTTATTGAATTGGGAGATGCAAATCTATAAATTTTAAAAGGAAATGACATATAATTTAAAATATATTTACCAATACATAAATATTCATACCTAGAGAAAAAAAATGATTCCTCTTTTGAAAGTAAAGTAGATACTAAAATCAATGGACAAAGGAAAACATTTGTACCAGTAAAAACAGAGAAAGGATTTACAGTTGTTAATTTAAAACAAAAAGGAAAATACTCAGATGTAATAGTTAATTGGAGAGAAGAAGAAAGATTATTTATAATATACAAGCTGAAACTAGTTAATAATCATATGGGTTAATCTTAAATTTACTAGAAATAAGACATATATTAAGACCATAAATTAAGACAATATTGTTGTCAAAGTATCAACAGCTTTAAAATATTATCATGTCAATGTTGAGTAAGGGTTTGGTGAGAGGAGCAATTGCCAGGTAAATTGGTGAAGTCTTTATAAAACTATTTTTCAATATAATATTCTACTTATAGATCATATACCACAAAATACTTAGACATTTTCTTTAATTCCATCTTTTAAAATGGATTAATTAAGTGCGATAATCAAAAATCTATCATATAACCAGTTGGTAGATTATTTAAGATGATATTTCTATTGCATATAATGCATTTGTTATAATACTAAATGAAAAATTGGATATGAAGAGTACATGTAATTGCAATGTAAACTAACAACAAAACAAAGCATATACTAAAAAACTGAAAGAAAATGCCTTAAAATGCTATCTAATGGCTGTCTTTGAAGGTGGAGTTCTTGCAGATTTCCATTTATTTGACTTTTTTACTTTCTAAATTATCTATTATGAGAATTGTTATTTTGATAATCAGAAATTTATCAATTTATCTAAATAAAACTACTCAATGTTGTGTTTTGAAATAAAGAAGCATACAGAGAGAGTAGTAACTAGAGTACAGCCAGAATCAAAGAAACACAATTTTTTCTTAGGCTTATGATACAAGAAATTGATGAACCAAAACCCAGAGACATAGGAAAAGACAGGTAAAGGGATTAGTGTTCTGCAGGCAGAACAATACTTCCTTTCACATTGAAAGGAAGGATTCATGGAATAGCCTGACTAGAGAACTGTAAGTATCTGTTAAGTACTTCAGGTCACCCTTATTCTTCCTAAGATGCTAAAAGCAGGACTTATGCATGTTTCAGAGTATATCTTACTTTCTGCTGCTCAATGGCAGGAGTAATCTTGAAAAGAGTTGCCTGAGAAAGAATCATTTCCTTCAGCATTTGAATTGCAGTACTTTCAATTAAATCTAGCCAACTTCACCACTGTGTTTGTTCTGTTGTTCTGTTTCTTATGTCAAGCTTGTGCCAATATACAATCTATGTCTTAGTGAAAAATAGTTAATATGAATTGGACTGTTGAAATGAAAGCTCTCTTCTTTACCCAGGAATTGTTCAGAATCTTGACTGAGTTCTGATGTAAAACCACTTAGGGATTTGGAAGTGTTATTGCACAGTTTTCCATAGTGTTTTAAAACTGAATATTGCAAGTATACGTCACTATTTAAAAAAAAAAAAACAGAAAACAAGAGATTTTTTTTATCTTAACTAAAGTACACATGTTAATAAAGGATTTTTCCATATCAAGAGTAGGTAAGGTTCTAACCTTGGTCTCTGTTGATTATTAGGATCACTGAGTCCCAATTATTTTCTGACACTGCACTGTTGGATCAGTATATGATCTAGTCAGCCAAGAAAGATAAAGCAGAAACTGGTGTTCTGCAGAGGAGAGACAATTGTGTGCAGTAAATGGTTGTGACAACACCAAATCTCCTCTTTGATTGAATCTGTTTTATAGTTTCTGTGTACCCCTAAGGATATTGTTCAAAACAGTTCTGCTCACAGATACAGTGGTCATCCCTAGCATGTTAAGTAATTATTCCTTTATAGCAACTTTGGAAGTATTAGCTTAAGCTCAGGATACTTGGACTGTGTCCATTTTAAGAAACACATTGTGGCATAAGAAGTGACAGGAACTTAACTTTGGTAAGTAAAAGTTTACAGAAATAAAACATCCTGACTTTTAGCTTTACTGAGAACTGATCCAACATCTCTATAAGTTGAATATGAGCCATTTCACGAATTATAACAGTAACTTGTATAGAAAAGAAAAGATGTTTTAGAAGTATTGTTTTCCATTTATTCAGAATGATGCATATTACACTTTGTGTGTATATGTTTGAGTGTACATGTGTGCATTGACCAAGCATTCAGCCTAGGCTTTTCACCATGTTTTATTTTCCAAACAAATTGCAATTATGTTGACTTATTGTGTTCAAACATCCAGAGTGAAATAATACTTCAAATTTAAAAGTTGAACATTTTAAATAACTAGGTTTCAAACTTAAGTATTTTGAGATTAATTACCATGTGTTAGTTCCACAAAGTGTCTCCCTCTGGTATACTATCAATAAAGCCTACAAAGTTAACAAGCTCCTAAATATGGTAATGGCTCCAAGAAAGAAGCAGTATAAAAGACCAAAAGGAAGTCTCTAAAAACCACTGATCTTCAGTGTAACTCTGAAATGTATGGTATTGACAAAGCAGCAATATCTGCAGTTTTATTTTTTAATAAAAACACACATATATATGTGTAATAATTTTTATATTTGATTATAAGGGTTGGATTTTTTCTTTTCCTTTTTTAAAATAATACTTTATATATTTGTTACCTCTTATTCTTACCTGGTATAATTTCTCACCTTTCATATTTTTTTCCATACACATCTTTATTGTTATGCTTTTTCTATTCTTGACATAGCTGCTATATCTATATCAGGTTCCTTGAAACCTGATATAGATTATATTTCTAGTTTAAAATATTATATTAACTTACACAAACCAAAATCAGTTTTATATGATATTCTGTCTCAAATAAGTTCAGTATAAAGTCTTCATATGGATAAAGCTAGTATAAGAACAATTAACTTTAAAGGATGCCTAAATATACATGATAGTGATACATATTCTTTTTGTACTATCTACCAAAAATAACTCTGAATTTTCTAAATAAAAAACTAAAACTAAAGCCTTTTAAAATGTGGGTTACCATAAAACATTCTCTTTATTTTCCAAAAGAGTTGAATCTGAAACTCAAGCAGAGTGACTGACATTATTTTTCTTACAGAAGATTTAGCTACCATGAATTAATCATTATACTTTTTATTTCTTGTGGTGAAATTACTAGCCTCAACTGAATGACCTGGCCAAAGTTTGATCTCTTTAAATTACAAATTACAATCATATCTCTTTCCCAGATAAGGAAGAAGACTTTATCTACAAGGATACTACTGCAAATGAAAAATTAGAAAGGAGTAAAGAATATACATACCAATGGCTTCATACACAGGTTGGGGTTCATGCAGCTAGTTCCAGAAATACGAAATGGTGAGGTCATTTCCTTTAAATTAGATTTTTGTATTGTAAACATACCTTGAAAAGTGAATCCTGGGTTAATTGTGTAAAAGAAACATGACTTTATAGCTAAAGGCCTATACACTACTTTCCCAGGTTAAAAAAAAATAGCCTTTCATATAAAAGAGATTCAATCACTCTTTATATTTTTCACCATAAAATATTTTGGAAAAGCTTTATTCTGTAATGCTTAAAACCAACAAGTGAATCATACAAATTATTTTGTGTCATAAAGTAAATGTCTGAGATCCATTAACTGTTTCTGAGGGTAAAATATGTTATAGACTGTATTTTAATTTATTAGTGCTATTATAAATTTGTCAATTAAGAACTTAATTTACCCCTTTTAATAACATATATGAACTAAACTTTCATATACAGTGAGTTCTCTCCATTTCCTTTCAAAATGTGGAAGTGATATGATAGCAAAAATGAAAATAGAGTAAAACATGTTAGTCTGAATTGTCATATTTCATTATAAATGAAGAAAGTTGGAATAAAGCCATCCATATTTCAGAATTTTCATTTTTTAAATACTCAAATTAGTGGAGGCAATTTATGTTAGTATTAATCAGTTTAACTTAGTTCACAGCATAGCATCTTTGGAACTGTAAGCAAATTTAATAGAATCCATTTAAAACCATCTTAATAACCCAACAGAAGAGGTCTTCTTCAGAAATTTAAAAGCCTTAGTATAGATGTAGTATAGTGAAAACTTTTAACAAAATGTTTCAGGGTGAATTTTAGATATGCTTAACATTTAATAATATCCTTTACTAATAAATAATCTATGTAAATATGATAAAAGAGTAAAAATTGTTTATGAAATTTCTCATATGAAACTATAATACAATATATAATATTTTCAAGAACATAAGTTTTTGAAAAGCCAAATGTAATTGTTTTGGTTTAAAATAGAAGTTTATTATAAACATGACAATAATTTACTAGCATCTTTCTTAAAAGACAAAGGATAAGTAAATGTGAATAAAAACTTTTTCTATAATTTATTAAATTTAATTATTAATAGTCTTAAGATTTTTACTCTTTGATGGGTTCTTTTGAAACAGAAGGTGATTTTACAGTATGTATCAATATTATGACAAATTTAACTTCAAATTACTATCGAAAGATTTGAATTCATGCTTATCTTTCTATAGAAGCTAATTTAAGAAAATATTATTAACATTTTTTAAATAATGATATCTCCTGATTTTCTTATGTGAACATTTCTTTCATGTTCTTCCTATACATTCATATTATAATATGTTTTCTGTTTTTGTCGCCACATAGCAATCACTTCTTGCCTGAGTTAGATCCAGATGTACTTAATGGTGGAAGAGTCCAACTCGTGGTAAGAAATGTGTTTAAAGTTATGGAAACATGGTGTAAATACCAGTGCTCAATGAATGACACCTTAAAATATTCCCACAATTAAACTATAAAAATGAAAATATAACTCTATTTGAAGTAATGTCAAAATACCATGTGATAAAATAATAACATTTTTCCTTGACTTCTGATATAACTTTATGTTATTACATTGATTTAAAGTATGTAAAAATATTCACCTTTTATATTATAAAATAACATTATTATGAATGGGAAGCTCAATGAAATTATTTTCTTGAAAATTTTAGGAGCATTACTCATAGACTATACTTGATGAAATAGCAAAATATTCTCACAACTCAGAAAACCAAATCATACAAAAATTAACAAGTACTTGGGAACTCAAGCACTCTAAGTAATATAAAGTAGAGTATTACATACTTCATTAAGTAAATTATTGAATCATAGAGACAACCAAATTCTAAATATGGTGACCAAAGTGTAGACTCAAGGTAATAGAACTGCATGTACATTGCTAAATTCCATTGTACTATATGCTATTAGAAGTAAAACTATTTGAACAGAAGAAGAATGTCTAATATTTGATCTATAAAAATGGATCCCATAAAATGAGATTTTTTTAGTGTGCTTCCAGAAATTTCCAGAAAAGATGGTACCTTGATCACTGACTGAATTATGTAGTCTCTTTGGCAGGTGAAAATGTATGCCTATGGTGAATCCATCTATACAATACCTTCCAGTTAAACCAACCAACTACTACCTCTTTCTCAGATTCTATATTTGCCAAGAAAATTTATTATTATTTAGCCTCCCATATAGAATTTTGCATGAAAAGATGATGTGTTTTCTGATATGAATGAATATTGTGGTTTCCAGAACAGTTGTATTCATCATTCTTGTGAATAGCTTGCTCAAGGAGTTTTCCTAAAAGAGGAGTAAAAGATAACATAATAACTAGCTAAAACTATGTTATTTATAAAAAATATAATCCATCCACAGATTCAAAATAATCACTCATCAAATAATTTTCTGCACTTGAATGGAGAATACACTAAGAGAGTATCAAGCAGATTACTCTAGGAAAAAATTATACTTCAGGTTAACACTATGTCTTATTGGCTATGATTTGACCCAGATTGTTCAGTAACCACATTGGAGCAAGAATGAAGAGTACATACTTATAATACCAACAACTAGGGAGGCCAAGGCAGGAGGATCACAATTTGAAAGGCAGCCTCAGCAACTGAACAAAGACCTAAATAACTTAGCAAGACCCAGTCTCAAAATACAAAAATTTTAAAAAGGGTTGGGGATATAGTTGAGTGGTTTAGCACCGCTGGTTTCAATCCCTGGTGTGTGTAAATAAATAAATAGGAGAATATAAATGTGCCATGGAAGTCCAGTATAAAAAAAATTTAATTATTACGCTTACAAAAGTGGTTGAAAACAGAGTGGATAGATTACTGATCTAATGGTTACTTAAAATTAATGTTCTGTCATCAGTCCTCTTTTTTCTAGACCTCTCTAATTCCTCTGTGTACAAATATATGACAAGTAAGTGGCAACAATAAATGCTTTTTCATATATTAGAGATACAATTGAACATTAAACAAGGTAAACTGTACTGGAACAAAAAATACACAGACGGCTTTTGTGTGTGTGAGTAGAGGCAGTGTAAGAGATCAATAAGTTAATATCAGAAGGATAATGGGCTGACTGAAGGCCCAGAATAGGTATATTGCAGTGTATTCAGGAATGAAAACACTCACTTTCCCACCTATGACAGGAAACTAGAGGCAGATAATTGCCCAACTGAGACTAGCCCCTAAGAAAAAGAACAATGAAAGCAAATGGCTGCAACTGCAGCTAGTATAAAATCCTCAGAGATAAATAACACCCATAGTAAAGGACAGAAAATTATAGAACAAAAATGATCAACTGTGAGTAAAGTCAGATGAGTAGACAAATGAACCACCTATAAATTATTGAAATAAAATTATTTAAACGTAGTCTAGGATGGATACAATAAAGAAGATTAGTGAATTAGAAGATTACTTACAGAGGAATGGTAATTAGATAGTCTGCTAACTTCATATCAGAAACAATGAATTTCAGAAGATACTGGATGTGTTTCTTACTAATAGGAATAAATATAAATAGCATTAAAATACTGTTCTCTAAATTTCAAAAATGAGTACAGAATAAGGCATAAACATTCAAATTTTGAATTTTGGAGAAGTAAATAATATGTCTGTCTTCTAACTAATAGCAAAGAATATTGCATGAGAGGAATTAAAAATGGAAGAAAAATATTATTTTTATTACTTTCAAAAATATATCATAAGGCATGTCAAAGATGTTAAAAGACAATTATATTGTCAGTTATATTAAATGATTCCCCAAAGTTCCAAGATTTTCCAGAAGACAGTCATATTTCATGTACTCCAGGAAATATACTCTGAGATTTTAAAAGTTGAGTACAGAAAGTTTACTGAGGAAAGTTTTCAGAAACAACTCCTTTGAAAAATGAAAGAAGTGGGATTGAACTGAGAGAGAAGAGTTGCAGCAAAGGAATGAGTTCTGGTAGTGGAAGCACAGTTGAGGCCAGAGCAACAGGATTTATACTCCTCAAGAGAAATGTGACTTGGGCAAAGCAGCTCTCTTCAGCTAAGACAATGTTATATAGAGGAGACAGGTACAGCAGAGAGCCATTAGTCAGCAACTCTGTCAGCAACTAGAAATCTCTTAGTTATTAAACATGATCTATGTATGATATAATATTAATTTTACCATTTATGGATTTGTCAACTTATTGTATAAAATATATTAATAGTCTTCAAATAAATGTATATATTTTTTAAACTCACCCAATATTATAGTTCATTTCTTGAGGAACTTGAGAAAACTCCTCTGAAATGTGTATTGAAAAATAAAATAAAAACAAGAATATATATGTCAACTTAGAAAAATAAGAACAACTTTTGTCACAACACATGAATACTTAGTACAAAGCTAAAGGACCCTTAAGGCACAGGCATGGATGGACAGACCAATTAAAAAGAGTAGTGAGTTTAGAAATAGACTTATGACTGTATTGCAAATTATTATATGATAAAGTCAGGAAAGCTTAGATTGTCTAGTAAAGACTATTCAGCAAATGACATTGAGAAAGAATGTAACAAAACAGCAATATATATATATATATATATATATATATATATATATATATATATATATATCATACATAGCCTTTACAGTGGATGGGATTCAGAAGGCTTGAATATCCAAATATGAAAGGTAAAGTTGTAAAATAGATCAGTTTCTAGATGAGAGGAATGAGAATGAAAACTTAAGAAGCCTCATGACTATACTCACTTGAATATTAAAATTTGGAAACAGTAATTCAAAGGGCTGTCAATAATGTGTAAATGTTTATGTACAGGTGCTGAAAGTAGAAGCTGTTGTAATTCTGGAAGGAACTCATTCAATGTTTTAAAATAGGTTTTTGTATGCCCTGTTGTTCTTCAAGTGCATTATTTGGGAAAATGTATGATGTCAATGATCTGTGGATCCAATGCAGTCCCAAAAAGGTTTCTCATAGAAATGAACAAACTGATTTTAAAATGTGCATGGAAATGCAAAAGACATAAAATAGCCAATTTACAATCATGAAAAAAGAACATTAAGAAGTTCCACACTACTTGCTTTCAAGATTTGCTATAAAGCCCCTGTAATCAATAATGTTTGTTACTTGCAAAAAGATAGCAGACTCTATTACCATAAAGGGGAATAGTCTAGAAAAATATTAATACTTATAAGGCCAACTGTTTTTTTGTAAGGTACCAAAGCAATTCAAAGAGGGAAAGGATAACCTTTCAATAAATGATGCTGAACAACCAGATAACTATATGGGGAAAAAGTGAACCTACATGGGAAAACAACTCCTCTTTATCACACCATACCAAAAAAAAATTAATCTAAGATGACTTATAAACATAAGTGTAGAAACTAAAATTATAAAACATCTTAAAGAAAATATAGTAAGGTATCTCCATAAACCTGTAATAGGCAAAGAATTCTTTGCATAAACCAATAATGAAAAAAGATAAAAACAAATTGAACTTCATTTAAAAGCACCATTCAGAAAATTAAGTCAAAACACATAGAAAAAAAGTTCATATCCTTCCTCTCTTTTATAAACACATGAAAAATGTTAAATATCATTAATTAGGGAAATAATTAAAGCCTTTATGTGATACCACTGTATGCCTATAGAGTACTTAAAATAAAAATTACTGTAATTTTTAAGTGCTGACTAGAATGCAGAGTAACTGCTTCCTCTAGTCATTGCTGATGAGAATTGTATAGCCACTCTCAAAAAAAATCTTGTCATTTTCTTATAAACATATGTTAATATGAAGTAACAACAGCTACTGATAATTTTTGCTAGAAAAGTTAACATTCATTTAAAAAATGTACGATAATGTTCATAGCAGTTTTATTTGTAATAACCAAAAACTTAACACAACCAAATTCCCCTTCAGTGGGTGAAAGGTTAAACAAATGGTGGTACATACATATAATAGTGTTATGGTTTGGTTACCAGGTATCTCCCAAAAGTTCCTATGTTAATGCAAGCGATGAAATTATTAAATTATGAGAAATGTAACCGAATCAATGGATTAATCCATTTGATGGATTAATAATGTGAAAGGACTATAATACAAGTTGAAAACTGTGGCTAGGTGGGGTGTAACTAAAGGATGTAGGTCCTTTTAGGTTTTATATTTTGTCCCTGTCATCTCACGTTCTTCCTCTCTCTGCTTCCTGGCTGTCATGAACTGAGTAGCTTTCCTTTACCACGCCCTTCTGTTATGTTGTTCTGCGTCACCTCTGGCCCACAGCAGTGTAGTCTAGTTGGCGATGCATGGACTTGTATCTTTGAAACAGTGAACCCAAAGTAAACTTCCCCCACTAAGTTGTTCTTGTTAGGTATTTTGACTGACCCAAATGGATGTGCATTAAAAAATAAATAAAAAACACCAGGCATGGTGGCTCATACCTGTAATTCCAGAAGCTCTGGAGGCTACAGCAGGAGGATCGTAAGTTCAAAGCCAGCCTCAGCAAAAGTGAGGTGCTAAAGCAACTCAGTGAGACCGTGTCTCTAAATAAAATACAAACTAGGGCTGGATTGTGGCACAGTAGTTGAGTGCCCCTGATTTAAATCCTTGGTAAGAAAGAGAGAGAAAGAACAATAATCAAAAAAACACTTTTGATACATAGAAAGATATCTATGGATCTTAAGAACATTATGTTGAGTGAAAAAAGCCAATTTCAGAAGATTATGTATTTTATGATATTACATAACATTCTCAGAATCACAGTGGTGCGGCAGCACAAAAGTGCAAGTGGTTAGAGTAGGGAGAGGGTATATCTGTATAGGACAGTAAGAAAGTTTCTTTGGGAAAATGGAAGACTCCTGTGTGCTACTGGTAGTTACATGAGTCTATGCAGGATGTAAAAACTGGTGAAGTCCTAATAAGGTCTGTAGTTTAGTAATAATATTACTCCAATGTCAATGACCTGGCTTGTTGAAACCAAAGTTAATTGTATTTTGGTTATGTAAACTGTTGTCATTGGGTAAGCCTAATGTAGTATGCACAAGAAATATTAAGTATAACTTTTTGTAATTTATGTGGGAGTTTTACATTAAAAATTTTTATTCTAAAAATGTTGAAAACAATTGAATTTCATATTTAAGATTTGTGAATTTCAATGCACATAATCACATCTGTATATTTTTAAAACATTTAAAGTATCTTTCCTATTCACATAATTATATAACAAAACCTCTGGCTTAAAAGGAGTTAGTGCAATGATGATGAAGAGTATTATGAACAGAGGGATATGTATAACTAAGCTCTCAGCAACTAAAATAATATTTTTATATTTTGTATTTGTATTAATTCTTTTTTAGTTATACACAATATTAGGTTTCATTTTGACATAATTTTAAAAGCATGAAATATAATTTGCTCTAATTCAGTCTCCAGTACTTCTCTTTTCCCTCTCCACCTCCCTCCCCTATTCCCTTCACTCTACTCTACTAATCTTTCTACTATTTATTTATATCGTCTTTTAAATTAGTGCCTTGTGGATATACATGAAGATGATATTCCTGTGTTATATTCATATATGTACATAGGAAATTTAGGTCAGATTCAAACACTATTCTTCCCTTTTCCCCTCTCTCCTTCCTCCCCCTCAAAATCCTTACTCTACTCCACTGATCTCTCTTTTATTTTTATTTTTTTTTAATTTTTTATTGTTGGCTGTTCAAAACATTACATAGTTCTTGATATATCATATTTCACAATTTGATTCAAGTGGGTTATGAGCTCCCATTTTTACCCCATATACAGATTGCAGAATCACATCAGTTACAATGGAACCTTCCCCACTTTTCTTAAAAAGATTTTTCAATCATTCATATGTCTAGGAATAGCAAGAATAATGATGTCATAGCAATATAATTTCCCACAATTTATAAATTATTTAAGCAGCTAAAATGAATGCAATAACATGGACATGTTCTGAGAAACTCATCATTGGTTCATGTAATCATTGTGCACATCATACAGGGTACTTACACAAACCTCAGTGGCATAGGTCAATCACTTAAACTGGTTTCTTGATATAAGCAAGAGACACAGTAAGCAAGACATGCATGAGGCTTCTGTTGGCATAACACAGCAAACTATTTCACAGTAAGCTTATTTTGATAGAATTTCACTCAAAACTGATAAAAAATTATTATATATCAATATATAAATCAGTAAATACCCCAGCTTTTTATTTTTATTATCAGATATTTTATATATATATATATAAAATTGCATGAGCATACTTTTATGCAACTGACAGTGCAGGTTTGTTTACACAGGCATCACCACAAACACATGAGTAATGTGTTGCATCAGGAGACTACAATGTCTAAGATGCCACTAGGTAATAGGATTTTTTCAGCTCCAATATAATCTTATGGGACCATGGTCACATATGTGGGCATTGTTAACTAACATTATTATGTGACTGTACTCCAAAACCTTTTCAATACATACATGTAGAAAAACTACCAGGTAGCTTAAAAGGGTACTTCATCTTTATAACATTTGATTTTTCTTTAAAAAAAATCTAGGTAATAAGTACATAGGTATTTGTTTTCAAAGTATGCTGTTAGCATGTCTTTACTTCCAAAAGTACACAGTTTTAAAATAAATATTTAATAACATTGTGTTTAAAAAAAAACAGAAGAAGGAACTCCTGGTTTTAATTAAATGAAAGAGAATCTTCTTTTTGTATTTAAGATATCAAGGATAGAGGTGAAATTAAATCCAAATACTTAGAAAGTCACCTTCCAGAATTTACTTCCTTTATTCCAGTGTGAAATGTAAGGGGGGATTACAAAACCTTGTATGTAGGTTATAAAAGAGAAATGCTCAAAAACAAAGATTTAGAAAAATTTTGCAAAATTGCCGTTTAACATATATTTGCCATTAAATTTCATATTAGAAAATTGTTATCTGAATTAAAATGAATCTGTTAATTAACTCAATTTAGCCATTCCACAGTGTGTTCCTATTTCAAACATCATGATGTATAAAATAAATATATACAACTTTGGACAATTAAAAAATAAATTCGAGGAAGATAAATTCATTGATTCATTCATTCACTCATATGCGTGAGTGTGGGAACAAGGTGAGAAGAGGAATGTATAGATGGGCAAAAATCTGAATTTGAAGGAGGATGATTTTTTAGATCCCGAGTTCTTCGGTCTTTGTAGCTCATCAAATGTACGTAGTTTTTTAGCCACAGTAGTGGTTTCATGTCTTTATTTTGCTGTACTTAAATTTCCTCACATCAAACATTTAAGACAACACATTTGCACAGGACTTCAAGCACACTGTGGTTTGGGTTAAATCCCAGCCACTTAGAGGCAGCTTTACTTTCCGTAATGACATTTTCTCCCACTTCAGAGCTGAATCCTGATAAATCCTCACTTCATGATAGATATTCTGTAAAACAAGATTTTATAGGTAAGAAGCAATTCTTTTGACTCTTAAGTTTAATCTAAGATAGTTTTTTAAAAAGTGCAAAGGCAATTTAGATTAAATGAATTATCTAATTTTTATATCTTTAGTATACCTTGGCATTTCGATATATTTAGCATTATCCCCAAATTAAACTTAATGTGTAATATTTTTGTATTAAAATGGTTGTAATGAAAAGGCGGGTATCATCTGTGACTTTCTAGTACACAAATATGGAAAGAAAGGCATATTCTGTGAATAAAAGTAATACTCATGTGATAAAATAAAAATATCGCAGAAAATAATCTAGTATGACATTTCTACCATTTAATTAAGAATTAAATAATATACTTGGTAAGTAAGTGATGTTAAGCTGTTTAAAGTTTCACCAGCTGCTTTTAAGATTGATTTTCATCAAAATTACTATACTAAAATGTTTTCTTTTGTTGTACAGACTCAAATAGCAAACCTCAATTTTAAAATCGGCTCTTATTTGCAAAAAAATGCTTTGACATAGTGCATTTGTTCTGCCTGGGCAGCAATAAAGGATTGTGGTATCATTTTGAAGAAGGTTGTTTGACAGAGCCTGTTTGTTTATTTGGGGTAATGTGAGCTGCATTCAGAAAATGCCATATTTTGTTTCATGATTGTATACATTCTCTCCCATTGCTCCCAGGCAAGACTTGTAAGCAGAGAAGACACGGATTTAGACCTTTTTTCCATGACCAGTGGAAGTGCTTTGTCTGTGAACAGAGAAAAAAAAAATCAGGCACACAGATACTCAGCGGGATCTTCAAGTAAGTTGTGGTTTCCTTCAGAATTAATTTAGAAATCACAAATGAATTGATGGAACTTAATGCCAACAAGCATTCTTTTACAGATAGGGGGTAGAATGCCAGCAACCAGAGCTGCCCCAGAATGTGTATTTGAATTTTCTTTCTTTCTTTCTTTAAATGTCTCCTTGCATATAAACAAAATTAAATTATTTCTAAAATTTACAGCATCAGTTTTTATTTAATTATACTATGTGTTTAAATGCCCTCTGCTCCCTACCCCCAACTCTATGGATCATGTTGAATCCTTTGATAATTTATTCCTAAAACAATTTTTAGGCTAATTTTTTAAAGTTGAATTTATCATTAGTGTATTTTGGCCTTTTGTAGTTAATAAATGTTGTAGGTAAAATTATTTTTTACAGAAAAATTTTCAAGTACATCAGAATTTTTGATAGTATAATGTCAAAGATATGCTTTTAAAAATTATTTTCCTTTGATACATGACAGTTTAATTATGTTTATTGATAATGATTCCATATTCATAAACCTGCCATGCATACCTACTAACTTTAATTTGGGGAAGAAGAGTTTATTTGCGGGGGTTGGGTATATTTCTACTTTGTGTGTGTTTGTGTGTGTGTATAATCTAATAAAAATTACATTGAAGCTATAAACTCTGAAAAAATATAAACATTTATAAAATAACTGCATGTTGTGGTATGGGGAATAGAATCTAATTTTTAAAAAGTCTTCTTTAAATTATACTCTAGAGATGTTAAAATACTTCCTATTAGTATAAAATATTTCATTTGATATCATATTTTGTTAACTTCCCAATATATTGTGAGACTCAAACATCTATACATAAATTTACAAAGTACTATAATTCTTGAGTTTTTCTTGGAAAAGTTATATTTCATGGATATTATGTTTATACAAATTCAATATGATTTGATATAAAAAATTCAGTTTTTAATATGTCTAATCTAAAACTATTTCCCAGTCTTCAAAGAGCTTGAATTTTTCTTGCTTGATTATAGAATTTGATCATTGAAAGATTATTCTATGTGATTGAGAAATAAATATTTTAGATTTATTCATTTAAATAAAATTACTCATCTAATTAATTTCTGACATATTGTTATGTTGTGATAATGACATCAATTTTTCAAATATATATTTCATTTTAGAAGGAATCAAACCTATTATAAATCTCATTATTAATGCTACCCATTTTATGCATTGTATATTATTAACACATACCAATTTGGAGCATTGTAGGTAAAAATAAACAAACCAAAAGTAGGAACAAAATTGCTTTGTTATTGTACAGAATATCACAACTTCTTTTTGTAATGTATCATTTGAATGTTAAAGCATAAATAACTCAATGAACCAGCAACTATCCTGAAATACACAACCTTCATCTTTCACTTACATGTCACTGAATCACAGATTTTAAAGTATAGAAGAGCATTAGAGTTCATTTCATAGCATATCCTCTGAAAAACTAAAATAGTGCTATTCTTACTGTAATTACAATTAGTTGTCAATAACTTACCTCATTGCAAATACTGCTAAGTAGGTTTACTAAGTGATAGTATGACAAGTAACTTTAGAAAAATAGAGTTTTATTAAATTATAAAATATTTATGAATAAAATACTACTTAATTATAGTAGTTACTAACCTACTGTAACATCAGCACAGTGTAACAGTGAGGAGTGTGAGCCCTGACATTAGTCATGACTTATTCCTTAAAATGGAAATGATAATAAAAGTACTATCCTGTAAGAGTTATTGTTAGGATCAAAATGTAGAGCACTTGGAACAATATCTGGCACAACAGAAGGGCTTAATAATGTTTTACTATTGACAGACGTTTATATAGCTATAAAAGAATAATCAATTTAATTAAGATATTGAATTGTCATTTACCTAGGAACATGGGCTAACTGGTTCTGCTTATAAGAAAACTACTTTTAATAGTTGCTTAACCAAAGTAATGGGCTTAGCCTATTATTCCATAGAAATCTTTTAACCTTTCAAAGATTTTGTATCTTAGACTTCCATGGCCATAGCCCAACTCCTTACTGCTTTGATATTTTGAAAGCCCTTTTTCCTCAAGCTTTCTCTCTCCCACAAAACTTATCACCTTGTTAAAGCTAAAACATTTCTTTTTGCTTTGCAAGCCAAATCTAGAAAGTAGTTTATGGGCTCCAGCTGTAAAACTCTTTTTGAGTCTTTGAACTTTTCTACAAATTTCTCTTTCAACTTTTTTCTCATACTGTGACATGAATTCTTTAGAATCCAGATGAATTCAGGTCTAAAAGTCCCAGTTTCACCATCACATGTAAATCATATGACCTTGGATAAATTATTTAACTTCTAGGGATGGACTTACTATCTGTAAAATGGGGATAATAATAATTCTCACATATTACTGACAAAGAAATGTGTTAAAGTATACATAAAATGTAATATATTGCCTAGCGTATTCTAAGAGCATGAAGAATATTATCTGTTGTTTTCATTGTTTGTATTTTATGCTCCTATTGCATAATTTAAAAACAACTCCAGAGTAGAATCGTCTTCCTTTTCTGTATTTCAAATAAAACAAGAACCAACACCCTTGAAGCATGTCAGCAATTTCAAGCAATAAATCTTTCCTTAGAGAATTTCCTAATTTTTCTGTCCATTCTCTTTTAGTTCTTATTGCTCCCTTTAAGAAGCCAGCACAGTCATCTGTTATCTAGATTTCTAATCCATCATAGGTTTACAAAAAAATGGAAAAATTCCATTCTCATTCAAAACTTATCATTTATAATATAATGGTAAGATAATATTTAGGTAGATAATATTTAGGCAAAATATTTGGTTTCACATAATGATTTTGGTTTTCACAATTTCTTCACTTAATACCTAAAATATTCATTACAATAATAGCTTTATTTGAAGATTAATTTATAACTTTACAATTGATTTTAATTATCTTTTCTAATTTATGATTCTTTTCTTTGACAGCAAATGTAAGATTCAAGAATTTAACTTGTATGCATTTCATGCAAAAAATAATAACATTAAATACCAATTTGAGCCCATCTTTTTTATTATAAATACATTTTATGTTGTCTTTTATTTTTTCATGTATATAGCTTAGTTGATAGAATAGTAGAACATAAAATAGTGTAGTTATTATCATTCATTCAAGAGCCATTAATTGGATGCTCACTGCATACACAATAATGTTCTCCAGGTGTTTGCTTATGATCATCTCTACACTTATTAGGATATACTTCATTTTCAGTTAGCCAGGGATTGAGAACCCATAATATTCCTATAATAGTGTATAATCAGCCTCAAGTCAAGTTCTTTTTTGGGCATATCTAAACCTCTCATAAATTGTAAGACCTTTCAAGATGGTGTGGAATTTTCTGAAAATGGAAATAAATGTTGTTCAGAAGTTGAGCAATTAATGTGGTTGCAATGAGTGAGGAGTGAGGTGAATCTTGGAGACAATGGACTTAATTTGTACCAAGAATGACGAGTGGGATTTAATGAAAGAAAAAAGTGGAAGGACGCCATGTTTTCTTTTCTTTTCTTTTTTTAAGGCAAAGAGTAAAATATTACTGTACATTTGTGGGACTTCGAGGAATCTGTTTACACCAGAGGTTCTACATACTGAAATAGTATCAAGTAAGGTTGGATTGAAAAGGAAGCCTAATTATATGTAAGCTTGAAAGTAAAGAGGAAAACTTGAACTTTGCTACTAATGAGTAATTAATGAAGACTTTTGAAAATAGCTTAGGGATTTAAAAGCTGAAGTTTAATTGCAGAACAGTATTTTGAATCTTTCCTAACATTGCATACTGTCTCCAATATGTTGACAGAGTAATTTTACAGCTATTACTCAGAAAGTATTAATTTTTGTTATCAAAACTACAAAATGAAATAATTTAGGAAATGTCCATACCTAATATTTTATGTGGATTGAGAGACTGCAGGTGGTAGCTAAAGCAAAAGTAGATTCCAAAAATGGCCATTAAGTTTATTCCATGTGAGATAAGCTTATTCCAATGATAAAATTTTATATTTGTAAATCAAGAATTATTGACAGGATGTCCATGTCTATATATTTAAATATGCACATATATATGACTGTCAGATTGGTGCTTACCTGCATTTATAATCCCATGATTAGTAGACTTATGAATGAAACACTGAATATATTTGGGTGTTATTATGTAAACTACACATGATGGTAGCAAGCAATTACATGGTTACAATGTGCAAATCACTTCTACAGGCCATTAAGAAAATAAAAAGGTGATTTGTATGTGTCTAACACATAGTAAGCACCTACATTAAGAGAATGTAGATGAATATGTAAACCATTGTTGCTCCACTCCTGTATCATATATTTATATCGCTTTATTTTTCAATGGATACTGTATTTTATAAAACAAGGAAAACCATTTCCATTATCTTTCTGTAGATTTCTCGCCAAAATATGTGTCTGAGATTTAGACTAATAAATGATTGAATATATTCAAGTAAGATGGTTGTATATTATAACTAGCGCTCTAATGAAATTCAGTCATGATAATGGGAATTTGAAGGGCTTGGTCTCTATCAAGGAGGAAAATTTCTCTCAGAAGCCCCTAAAAAGCTTCCTTTCAGATTACTAGCAACAATGTCATATTAATTTGGGGGGATTGTTTTTTTCTTCTCCACTCCTAGAGTATATGTTCCAGAAGGCAGGGAATTTAATGAAGCATTCTAGGCGCCTAGAAAAACTTCCTGGTGTATGGTAGGCCCTTTAATGTATATTGCATGGGTGCATGGATGGATAGACAAATGAATGCGGTCATCCTTTACGTGTCTAAGAGTTTTGGAAGAGAGTATCTGATATTTTCTTGCTCCAGAGGTAGAGGCAGACTGTATAGATGAGGAAGTTAGAAAATTGGTAAACTTTCTGTAGTATATACCATTGTTTCTATAAAAGCACTTGACCTGTCCAAAATCATAGTATTTGTAAGCATCAGTGAGTATATTCTATAAATTTGTTAAGGATTTATTCTGAGTTTTACAAATAACTTGATCATAAGATGCAAGTTTCTATAGATTTGGGTTACATGAAGCCAATTCTGTCATTTTTCTAATTCAAAAATATTTTTGGCTGGGCATGGTGGCACATGTTGCTATTGCAGCAGCTCAGGAGGCTGAGACAGGAGGATCGTGAGTTCAAAGCCAGTCTCAGCAACAGCGAGGCACTAAGCAACTCAGTAAGACTCTGTCTCTAAATAAAATATAAAATATGGATAGAGATGTGGCTCAGTGGTTGAGTGCCCTGAATTTAATCCCTGGTACCAAAAACAAAATGGAGTGCTCCTTGAAGATCCTATACACTATATAAGGGAAGAGGTACTGAGCCAGACCAATGTATTCCCAGGCTTAATGAAGTTTTTGATCCATATAAATGGATGCTGTCATTGTATGGGTCCAGTCAAGAAGTAGATATCATATCACAGGTTAAATAAAACAAATTGAGCATAAAAATTATTAACTCTGCTAAGGGAACAGCAATAAGACTGTGAAGTTTTACCTTAATATTGAGGGAGATCACCCAAAGAAGGACACACTTGGAAGAGTTTTATACCTCATTGGAGAAAGTATGATTCTGCCAGCAGATAGCAAAGAAATTCTCTGATTTGGCCATAGCAAAGCTGGTCTGAAATTATGAGGTAAATGGTGGGTAACCCTCCAAAGTATGGGAGAGGGAGCAGGGACTAGCAATCGGTGTTGTAGGCATGCCATGAGAGTTCACCCTGGTTATGGCAGAGGCTGCAGCAAGACTTGGTTTCCCTGCGGAAAGGATGGCACACACGTTATTGCTAAGCTGAAGTTACAAAGTTACAGAGGGATCCTGTTCTGGGCCTGTAGCTCAGGCAGACTACATCATAAACCCACAGGACTAACCTGTCCCAACTTATGCCAGAAATTGCAAAAACCCCTCCTCCTATATGCTTCCATATTCCTATCCTTAGCAGGCTTAATATGTTCTCACTTTAAGAGAGAAATGATTAAAGGAATTCCTTTATCATAAATTATAGAAATAAGGGTGCATTTGTTGCTAAAAAGCAATAAATTGGGGCTGGGGATGTGGCTCAAGCGGTAGCGCGCTCGCCTGGCATGCGTGCGGCCCGGGTTTGATACTCAGCACCACATACCAACAAAGATGTTGTGTCCGCCGAGAACTAAAAATAAATAAATTAAAAAAAAAAAAAAGACTTTAAAAAAAAATAAAAAAATAAAAAGCAATAAATCGATAATGAATATATATGCATACATTAAATTACTACTTTCTGAATACAATAACTTATATATGTTTATTAAAAGTGTGTGTATGAAGGAAATCTTTATAAAGAGTAAACTGGAATCCCTTCAAAAAAGATTCACAACTTGGATCAAATTAAGCCCTGGTGTTCACATTATTTTAATCTAGAAAATATACTTCAGTAAAATTGAAGAAAAGTTTAAGAATGCCTGAAATTTTCAAGAAGCTATCATTCTATTACCCTTTTATACTTTCTTATAAGTTTTGTATACTATTTCCAGCCTATGAAACCATGTCACGAGCTTGAGAAAACAATTAGCTAAGAAACGGCTAGTAAAGTAAACTATAGCTCTACCCAAACTGGAATTATGAGGTTCACAGAGGTAAAGGATGATTAATTTACCAATTGCATTTTTAAACAGGATGATAGTGCAGTATTGGTAAGACTGTAGCCAATCTAATTTTTAGATCTTGCTGCACTCTTCACCAGTTTATTTGTGATCTTGGGTAAATCACTTGCAAATCCTATGTAAATTTGGCAGATAAAAGCAGCCTAACATAGTAGAAAGAAATTTGAAGTAAACCAGATAATAATTTGAATTCCATTGTCACATATATAATCTCAGAGGTTTGATTTTCCATTAAAAAGAATATTATAGTGAGAAATATATGAGTAAATAGACAAACACACACACACACACACACACACACACACACACACACACACTTTGGACTCATGTGGGAAGGTGGGGAGAAAACCAACAAACATAAAGAAGATATAAGAGTCCATATAGCTTTCAAACTCTATAATTCTGTAACTGGAACAATAAAACCTTATACATGATAATTTCCCAAAGAGTAGCTGAAGCTATTATTTCTGATGTTTTTACCTTATGAAAATCATACTTGTAACAAACTTTTCTCCATGCTAAAATACTTCTAAATGACCCTGATTTCAAACATTGTTTAAATTGTCTTTAATTGCTTCAGGTAAGTGCAATCAACCTACATGGGAAAAAATAAAATCTTTCTTTAAATGTTTTCCAAGTAAAGATCAAAAAATTCTATCATCTGTAAGAAATGACACCTTTTTTTTCACAAAATCAAATTGAATTTTTTTAAAAATGGAATTGATTCTAAAAATGAACACACCTACAGAAATAATATGATTTAATTCTACTGTGAATATTTAGTACTTGATAAGTTAATGTCCCAAAACATTTTAAAAGAGAAAGAAAATGATTCATAGGATGGCATTTCAAAATGATCTCTAGCTTAATATTTAGATCTAAACATTTTAGAAAGATGTTGTTCACAAATTGAAAGTTAAAGAATATTAAAGAGGAAATTAGGTAAGACATATATATGAGGTAATTAGGTTATCATGAAAATAGTTACTAAGTCTAGGAGGTTTTATACAAATGTAAAATATTGTAATAAGAAAAACAAAGAACTATAATGCTTGACAACTGTCCTGTTTAAGAGAAATTTCAGGTTTTCAATTTATGTGATTGTATAAAAAGTGGCCTTCATTTTAAACCTGATTAATTTTTATACAGAATATTAATTAGAGTCTTGTGATCTCTCCTGAAGGAAACTATATACCTTGAAAAGAACTCTAATATATTAATGAGCCAAATCTGAAAGTTCATGAAAGAATTTTCTTTTTGAAGATGAAGCTAATAATAACTATAATTCTACCCTAAACAAATTGTGCCATGGAAGTTATTTGAGGCTGTTGTATTCAACAAAACATTTGTTGAGCATCTCACATATTAACATTATTCTGTGTTGTACATATATTATCAAATTCAACTAAATATTTAAATTCTGAAATTTTTAAAAATATAGATACCCTGTACCTTATAATCATACTTACTATTGTAAACATTGCAATCTTTAAGTGATGTTTAAATTTATTTACCAAAGTTAAAAAAAATTATTGTAATGGTATTTCAAAAAGATAAACAATATCATTCATGTAAATTAGCTTGGGTTTCTCTCTGAAAGCAATAATAATAAACTCCACCTAATGCAAAGATATGTTCATTACTTGCAATGTTAATTTTAAGGTTGAAATTGTGATCACCAATTGTCTCTTTCCGCTTTTACTTTAAAGAAACTTGATTGGATGAGACAGTTGTGTATTTTCCAAGGATCCCCGACCTAATCTCAACCATTATTTCACTGTGGGCCAGACTCTTAGGACTTATTTTAACAAGTCACATTCTAATTAACAATAGTACTATCAATAAGGATATTCTAAAATAAATATCCACATGTGGGCCATAAGTACTCAAGTATGGACCCTGATATTTTATTATAGCTCTGGTAACAGCCTAGAACCTTTCATTAAAAATCATCTTAGGAGCCTGAGACACACAAAGAATATAGAGATATTCATACTTGCTCTCCTTACCAGCCAGAACCATTAACATTGTCATTGTCATCATGGTGTTTTCTTGTTAAATGATGAGAAAACCACAATTATGTGACACTTTCCTATTATCAATTTTCTTATTTGAACCATAATTCATACATTTACATAAAATTTTAGGCCCCCAAAATGTAGATAGAACATGTAAACACACACATACACACACACACACACACACACACAGAGAGAGAGAGAGAGAGAAAAACTGACTCTCAATGTGTGCCACATTGCCATTTATAACTACAATTTAATTTATCACTGACATTGCATTAGAGGGCTTAGTTTCTTTTTTCCTCTTGTTTCTCTGCAAACTTACTGTCACTTGCTTCTAACAGACATCTCCTTTAAAATTCTCCATATTAAAGGCCCCAGGATCTCTAACTAGAATTTTGATTATTTTGGTAGTTCTGCTACTTCCTACCATTCCCTTACATTTCATAATTTACTTTTATAAATAAATGATCTCTGAATTGGATGTTTTCAACCTGATTTTCTGCCGCATGAAGTGTTCAAAAAGTGAGTTTTAAGTTATATTTAATTATGTCCCTGTTTCCATATGTTTAAAAATAGATTAAAACTGTATTTTAAAAAGAACAAATTGATGGTTCAATTGTCTACTATTTTTTAATATTTATTTTTTCTAGTTGTAGTTGGACACAATACCTTCATTTTATTTGTTTATTTATTTTTGTGTGGTGCTGAGGATGGAACCCAGGGCCTCACACATGCTAGGGGAGTACTCTACTGCTGAGCCACAACCCTAGCCCCCAGTTGTATACTATTTAACTAGCATATCAGTTTTACTTATACCTGACCTTTATAAATCTGGATAATTATATAATTCTGATGCTATTTTCTCGGATATTATCTTAAAGAAAATGATGCATATTAGTCCCTATTATTCTGTGTCTTTTCTTGCAAGGTTCAAAGACTTTATATTATTGAAGTATATATTTATGTAATAGATAGATGCAATGCCACTCAAATATCATAGTATTCTTTGGCCAACTTTAAGACTTCTGGTAACATCACTTTACAAAGTCCTTGCAGGGTAAATAGGAGGTCAATGAGATAAGTAATAGATATAAAAATCCGAAAAACCTTTGGACAAAATAATTTTAAATTTAAAAAAATCATATTGGAGCTATAAAATAGATAGATATAGGAAAAGTATTTCCTATTTTATTTTCTCATTTATGAAAATTAATAACTTTTATTCACTTTCATAGGCCTTATTTCCAGATAATGGACAAGTCCTTCCATTCCAAGGCTGACAAAAACAGATATTCATCTCACATTTGCTTTTCTAATGGTTTACTTTATGGCATTTTTATATTAGAGGCATACTTTATTACTGAATATTAAATAAGATACTGACTTCTTAAAGATTAAACCATACTCATGTAAAATCATGTTTTGATTGTGCTTAGTGTCACTTAACTTTGGACAAAAAAATGTAACTTTGTTGCCTGAATTTCCTCATTTTCAAAATGAAGATGGTGATATGTATCTTGTGAAACTGTGATAGCAATGAAAGAGATTGTGACTATAAAGACAGGAGCCAGAGCCTGGGACAAAGTATACTCAGATCCCCTCTGTTCCTTCAATGTGACATTTTCAGTAAAGGTATATGTGTGACTTGACACTGGCAGAGAATCAAAGAGCAAATAGATGATGAGAAAATAAGAACAATACCCAAAATGTTCTTTTAGCAGCTAGATTTAATAATAAAAATTATACATTGTTGTGGATACTAAATGCACAATAGATTCTTAAGTATGTATATTTTATTAATACTTTTAATTATTGGCACACTTTTGGTGATGCTGTTCTGCCTACAAAAACTTGTACTAAAATCATTATTTCGTTTTTACTGTAACAATTGTGAAATTTCACTGTAGGAGAAGTCAAAATTGACTTTACATTTTTCCATCAAAAAGATTCAAATTTTCAAATTTCTATACAAATTATATTTTCTCTAGAAAAAAAACAAAGAAAAGATTAGATCTTATACATTACTGTGGCCAAGTTAAACTTTTTGTTCCATACTTAATAAAATCTGAGGTTTTTATTCTTTTTTATTTTTTATCTGAAGTATTCAATTTGAAAAACATAGCAGTAAAAAAACTACAGCTACCTTTCATAGAATTATTGCAATTATAAGAATTATTATTATTGTATTTTGTTTCATAAGAGCTGGTCTTTGACAATGTAAAAATTTAAGCTTTAAGGCTTCTTTTTTTAAAAGTTTAAACCTTTTAGTCTGATCTTTTTGTTAATCTGAAATTATTGGGCAAGGACTTTAAAATACAGATTTTTGCTTAATTCTTGATATTTTGTCCCTGAACTTTGGCCATTAATTAAACAAACACATTGATATTTTAACCTTCAAATACTCTAGTAACCAAAACTAGATAATGAAAATTAATTACTATCACATCAAGAGCACATTTACATGATTAGTGAATTCTTGTAATATTGATGAATTTTAAAAAGCTACTTCTTAGCAGAAGTACTTTAAAAAGCTACTTCTTAGAGACACAATAAATAGTTGTTGATTTAATGTCCTTGAGCAAATTGATACTGTCCATTTCAAAATCTGAGACAGTTTAATGTAATAGTCAACAATGATTCCAGGCATGGTTAAATGTAACAGTTGTTATTAACCACAAAATAATGTTTACAGATCTAAGACAGTAGCTAGTTTCAACAGAGATTGACATTATCCAGAGAAAGACAAATTTCATCTGTGTTTATGTGAGAGAACTAGTTGTATGTATGTCAGCTACATTTATTCTTTGTAAAGAAAAATTAACATTTTTGAGGACAGGATCCATGCATGCTCTATTGATAATAGATTAAAGCGTGATGTTTCTAACTGTAATATTTTAGTTCTCACCCTTTTCCTTCATGATCATTTTCTTTCTTAAATAAATTGGTTTACACTGATGTTTTTCTTTTTTCAGTTATTGTTATTGTTGCTTTCAAACCAATTTCTTACACTAGCTAATGTGGTGCAAAAATAAATGGGTATGGTCAAATGTGAAATGCATTTGTCAAATGAATGAAACCGAAGTGCAATAATATAATAAATCCTCAGGCTAGTCATGTTTATTGTTGCCAAATGTCTCCCTGCTAAGAACTAATAAGCATGAAAAGGGATAATGAAAGTTTCCATGAAAAATTTTTGGGAAACCTATCCACAAGTCTTCACTATCTGGGAATGTGGAAATAAGTGTTTTATACTAGTTCCATATGAGGACTGTAAAGATGAAATTTAGAGAATAGAATCACATGGAAAGCAACTACAGTGTGACAGTTACTAATATTATTTGGCTCACAGAATAACATTGACAAGAAAGCTCATTGGAAGTCAAGAATAGAGAAGTGCCTGCCACATAATACATGCTGAACAAATACATGATGAATGAATGTGTGAATCAAAGAAAGATTTTAAATTAAAACTTTCAAAGACCTAAGTGATTTTGAAAATCTAATTTGGGTTTTAAATGTTTATATTCTAAAGTACAATAAACATTTGAGAATTTAAAATGCATATTTCTACTAAAAATTTACTTTGGCAAACTTAAGTAACATGGGAAAAGGAGGAGTGCAAGAGGATAATTAAAAATTGAAATATAGTTTGGTATAAGAACCAGGTTCTTTCAAATGAATAAGCACATTGATCTAGGGTGAAAAATACTTCCATTTATTTGCATTATTTGTTCCATTGTTCCTCGGTTACAAATACTTATGGACACTTTGTTATTAATTTACTGAAACTGAATAGAGTCCTAGAATGGACATTTTAAAAAGTAATTGAAGAGCTTGGCACAATGGTGCACGCTTGTAATCCCAGTGGCTCCAGAGGCAGAGGCCCGAGGATCATGAATTCAAAGCCAGCCTCAGCAAAAAGCAAGGCGCTAAGCAACTCAGTGAGACCCTGCCCCTAAATAAAATACAAAAAAGGTCTGGGGATATGGCTCAGTGGTTGAGTGTCCCTGAGTTCAATCCCCAGTACCAAAAAAAAAAAAAAAAATGAAGAGTTTGGGGAGAACCTCTCCCAAAATGACAAGAGAAATGGGACTTTTAGAACCAACAGTGTCCAGTAAAAATGAGTGACAGGTAGCTTCTTATTAAATTCCACTCTTTGCTCAATGAATTGCATTTTGATTACCTCTTCAGCTTAGCAGTTTAAATACCTAATATGTATCTACTATATCAGTGAGAAATTAGAAAGCCACAATCATCAGAATTGTAAAGGAGAGTTATCAATCAATAGAAAGAAGGGTTTTAGTTAACTTAAGGGCCACGCTAAGGGAAGGACAAACTAGCTCTGAAACAAATCACAAAATGTATTTAGATTTTTAAAACCAAAGACAGAGCACTCAAAGGAAAAATAAAAAAAGTCCTTAGGGGGAAAAAATGAAATCAACATTGAGAAATATTAGTCTAAGAACCACAGAATTTATAGGAGAAAGATAATTCTTTTAGCACACACATGACACCACATTTTAGCCTACATAACTGCAAACATAGCCACAAAGGGTCTTGAAGAACAAAAAATGACAATGTGTTAAAAATAATAATAATAAAAACTGGGAAACTGTATATATAATAAGGTGACCTCAAAGAATCTACATCAAATATACATGGTTGTTGCTATGAAAGATCAAAACAGGCAAAATACTAGAGTAAAATCTATCAATCAAAATAAGAGTCCGAGCTCCACATGATGGCTTTTGTGCTCATTAGGAAATTATTTTTTCAAAATAAAAATACATTGTCTAAACAAATTGTGTTATACATATCAATTTTTAAAAAACTGAAAATAAAATTTAAAATAAATTTTAAAATGGAAGCAAACACGTTGATTAGTAACACTAATAACCAATACTGTCCATATTTTGTGTCTATTAAGTGTACTTAATATAGTTTGGTATATTTTTCTAATTTATTTTTTCTAATTTATTTATCTCTTAAGTATTATGTAAGTAGAATAATTTTGTCACTGTTCCATTGGAATTTTGAGAAACAAAAATTTTATTAATATTTTTATAACTTAAAAGTTTCAGTCACTGAAAAAGCTTAAAAATCTCAAGAACTAGCAAAATTATGCAGAAGAAATCTGAAGCTTACATAAAAAAAAAAACTGTTATTTACTTTAGTTTTATTCTCAGTGTTAGGTTTTAAATTATCTACGTGAAGGTCACTGAAAATGATGATTCTGATTAAAAGATGAGCATAGCTACGGTCTTAAAAAGTGGCTGTTATTTAAAGGCTGTACTATCTACCTCAACACCAAACATGCCCAATGTAACTAATTCATTGCACTTAAATTGATGTAAACGCTTTGCTGCTAAAAATTTGTTCTGGTCACTTTCATTAAAATGTTGAATTTTTTGTCCATGCTTTACTTATGCTGTATCTGCTGTTAAGTAATACAATATGGGAAGGCCTTTGAAAACGTTTCTGTATCCAGACCCATAGTGTTGGGTATATTGATGAAAATCCAATGACGTATTACCATACATCATAAGATTTCTATTTTGACCCGTTTAACAGGTTTTTTTATACATACCAGGAGAGTCATTCAAAGCATTTTACATATTAAATTACTTATCAAAACACAGTATATATAGACCTTGACATTTTTTAAAGAACCAAAAAAAAAAAGTTTTTTTTTTAAAGAACCAGAACAAATCTTGAGCAGAACACAGATTATGTGGCAAAGAAGTGACTTCTTTAGAAAATAAAGCATTCTCTTCATAACATACTTTCAGCACATACGTAAGAGACTGATTGGTTGATTTCTATCATCACCTGCAAATATGCAGCAGACTGTTGAAAAAAACAAAATCTATAACGTTAATGTCGCAGAAAAGAGAAAAAAAGTGTCAACGTTCCTTAGTCATAATTTTTCTGTTCTAGGAGCCCATCAGTAAGTTTAATATCAATTTTTTGAAGCAAGAGTCTCTTGCAATTTTATTTTCATATAGGTAAGTAATTTTAGAATGATTATACATTGACTATATTAAATTGCTTTTTATTTTCTTTTTTGATTTCTGGTAATCATAGGACAAAGTAATGACTTTTCAATGAATGCCAATATGTGATTCCTTCACAGATGTGTTTTTTACTCCTCAATTTATTTTCTATAGCTCTAGTAATTTGAGAGTTTATATGATAACAAAAGAATCAGTAAATGCAATGATAGAATAAACTGCTCAAATTGTCCATTTATACAGCAAAACAATAAAACTCAAGCTTTTTTAAAATTTTTTTTTAGCCGTTGTTGGGCTGCAGTGCTGAGAATCAAACCCAGTGCCTCACACATACTAGGCAAGTGTTCTACTACTGAGCCACAACCCCAGCTCCAAAACTCAAGCTTTTAATCACACCTAAAATATTGTCATAGCAAAAACACTATCTTCACTTAGTGTTTGTAATTTTAGAGATGAATTTCCTATAGAATTTTCATTCCACTGAAAATATACTTCAAAATTGCTGTGAAGCTGTTTTATAATATCACACAATGTTTTTCTGAACTATAATTATTATTTGTTAAACAAGGAAAGTTTTACAAACTGCCTTTTTAAATATAGGTTTACAGTGTGAACAAATACAAGATTTGAAGATGTATCTGCAACTTCAAAATAATAAAGACGACAGAACAGTATTAAGGAAACAAATTGTACCAAATGGTAAACTTGTAGTCAGAAGAAAAATCCTTCAGAATGCTGAAACTGTTAAACATTAGGATATGCTTTAAAAAAAAAAACATTTTAGTGCAATTCAATCTATTTCATTTAAAAATAATTACTTTAGAAATATATGAAATTATCTATAAATATTTCAATTCTTTGTACAGGAAGTGCTACTCTTTTTATATGTTACTCATTTTTTATAAAAAGCTTACATTAAGAGTAAAGTCCTTAAATAATACATTTTTATACTAAAACAGTTTCATCAAAAATATTATTAATCAATCATGAGCTATGCTATTAAATTAAATTTAAAGTACATACTTATTTCCACTTATTCCCTTGAATAATGCTTGCAAGGATCTTGATTCACCTTTCTCTGTGGGAACAAAATATTTGTTAGTCACTCATAAAGATCTGCTTACTCTTTATTACTCTATTTTTATCTGAAATAAATATATCTAAATCATAAAGATGTCCCAATAACTCTTCATTTTTCAGACACACTGCCTTTTCACCCATCCTTAGCCCCAGCCTTCTGCTATGTACTGTGTTCTCATAAATATGTTCTTGTCATTCAGGAAATAGTTTATTCATCAAAGAATTTTAACTGCTAGGGTGAGATGGGGGTTTACCCTTACTGTTGTTGCTTTTTCAAAAGGACCAAAGTAGACATTCCCTTTGGTTATTTGGGGGAAAAATTAAATTAGATCTTTCCAATACACAAATAGTAAGTAAAAGGAGGATAAGCTTTTAGGAAGCAATTCTTTAGTGTTTTTTAGACCACAAGTTTATCTACTAGGAAATTCTTGCTTTAGGCCCAGTAATATTACTGTTGTTTGAAAGAGTGCTTGAAGTTTTCCTGTTTCCCTCAATGTTGTATAGGGAGCAGCTTAAGGCAGGATAAATCTGGCCCACACATGGAATTTGACTTCAGTTGTCATTTCTCTTAGTTGTTCCTCTGTGCTGAGATTGCCTCCAGGAGAGACTGTTGTGAAGGTGTCTAGACTCTTCAGCTTTTTCTGTCCTTAGGTCCTTTGCAGTCATGGGCCTGTAGCCATGAGGGTAGCAGCCTCCCAGGTATGCTCAGCATACCCTTTCCTAAAACAATAACACTTTTTCCCTGATGTTCAGAAATGTTCTTTGTAAACTAAAGGTGAAATATGTTCTTTGAATTTGTTTTTCTAATCACAGTGTTAAGACTAAAAGCCACAATACAATGCTCTGTTTTTAAAGAGATTTTGA